CATGCGGGGCTCGATCCCAGGACCCTGGGATCATGACCTGAGCTGAAGGCAGACGCTTAACTGACTGAGCCACCCAGGCGCCCCTCTTTTAGTTATTCTGTGGGAGCTGAGGATCCTTTTTTCTCAAATTATATATTTTTCTAATAACTTATGTCAGGAAGAGGGAAAAATAGCTTCATGATGTGTTCTTTAATAAAACAAAACAAAACCCAAACCGCATGTAAATCTAAATGGACTTAACCCACAGTACATTCAAATATGGGTTTATCATTAGTCATGAACCTCTGGTGGGGTGGGTCATGGATGCTTGAGGAAGTTATGAAAGCTCGAAGCTCTGCATTTATAGGATTTTTCAAAATAAAGATCTTACATTTACTTATGTGCCCTTCTGGTGCTTTTCTATCAAAGATGACAGATTAATGGTCGGAGGGGGCAAAAAGTCAGTTTCTTTCTTTCTTTTTTTAAAGATTTTATTTATTTACTTGAGAGAGAGAGGGAGGGAGCATGAGCAGGGGGAGGGGCAGAGGGAGAAGCAGGCTCCCCACTGAGCAGGGAGCCGGATGTGGGGCTCGATCCCAGGACCCCGAGATCATGACCTGATTTGAAGGCAGATGCTTAACCAGCTGAGCCACCCAGCCATCCCGAGTCGGTTTCTTTCTTGACCACAACAGTTTTCTAGGCTTTTGTTGGAAGCCATGGAAATACCAGTTTGCTGTTCCCCCCTCTTAACTGTCCTTCCTCTGGGCCCACATTAGACTTTAGTAAATTGGGGCAGGGGCAGTGTGGGGGTGGTGGAGTGCATGTAGGTGGTAGAGATTGCTGGTAGGAGAGCAGAAACACGTTCTGAAAATGTTACTGCATTTAGGGCTTAAACCACAGGAATGATTTGGAGTTCATCCTAGAGTAACTGCTGTGCGGTTATTGATGGTGTCTGGTTAAAGGGCTTGGTTGGAGCGCTGTCCGAGAGCCGAGTCTTAGTTTTGATCCCCTGTCAGTTTCCTTGGTTTGCCCAAACATAAGTCATACCCCTGTCTGCAGCCAGCCTTATTCTGCAGCCGGGACACCAGATGGGCAAGAGTGGCTTTTATCAGAACACATCCATTATCTGTCCCGGAAAACTGACTTTAGTTTATTCTGCAAATGGTGGGACAACAGTGTCATCTTTGTATCGGAAAGCTAGCCCACTGTGAACAAATTACGATTTGAAGAATGGCTGGGGGTGTACATGCCTTTGCTGCTCATCGGATGTCTTTTATTTTTTATTTTTTTTAAAGATTTTATTTATTTATTTGTCAGAAAGAGAGAGCGAGCACAAGCAGGGGGAGGGGCAGGCAGAGGGAGAAGCAGGCTCCCTGCTGAGCAAGGAGCCAGATATGTGGGACTCGATCCCAGGACACTGGGATCATGACCTTAGGAAGGCAGATGCTTAACTGACTGAGCCACCCAGGCATCCCCAGACGTGTCTTTTAATCACTGGTTTGATTTCAGACTCCGGCTTTGAACTTGCTGTGGGAGAAGTGTTGCAGTGATAATGTGGTGGTTCGAACAGCCTGCTGTGAGGGTCTAGTGGCCCTTGTTGCTCAGGATCACGCAGAGTTCAGCTATGTGCTCAATGGGATACTCAACCTGATTCCATCAACCAGGTATTCTTTCTTTCATGTTTGATCAGTAAAACACATTTTTAGAAAAAAAAATAAAGTCACTAATTTGCCATTAAAGGTCAACGTTCACTCTACTTGTCAGTTGTTTTTCTTTCCCTTAAGATGTCACGAAGTTGGTATTTTATATGTGCTGATTTGGACTCTATAGTCTTGGAATTTGTGGTCATTTGCTGTACGTAAGACTTCAGGGCTTTCTGAGGCACCATTTTTTTTTTTTTTTAAGATTTTATTTATTTATTTGACACAGAAAGCGCAAGAAGGCAAAGTGGCAGGCAGAGGGAGAAGGAGAAGCAGGCTCCCCGCTGAGCAGAGAGCCTGATGTGGGGCTCAATCCCAGGACCCTGGGTTCATGATCTGAGCGGAAGGCAGACGCCTAACCCATTGAGCCACCCAGGCGTCCCTAACTTACTGATTGATCTTAAGCAGGCCATGTAGATTTTTCCTTATGCCCTTTTTTCAGATGCAGGTAATGGTATTTGTTTCCCCCTAAATCTTTTCAAATGCCTTAAAATTCATAAACATAAAACCTATTTGCATTGTGCACTTGTACTATTTATATTCAAAAGTAAGTATCAGCAGCTAAGGAGCCAGGGTAATGTCTCTGTCTACGTAAGGAATAATTAGAGCAGGTTAGATTATACCTTTTTTTTTTTTAAGATTCTGTTTTTAAGTAATTTCTACACCCAACATGGGGCTTGAACTTACAGCTCCGAGATCAAGAGTTGCATGTTCTACCAGCTGAGTCAGCCAGGTGCCCGAGATTATACCTTTAATTCCAGAAGGTTATGTTAGAAAATTATGCTGTGTGGGATGTCCTTCATACCTCATTATAAGTCTGTCATTACTATTGTAAACTGAAAAGCATAAGATTTGCTGATAGTGAATCAACATGTCATCTGTATATGTTATAATTTGTTAGTGACCTTAGAATTTTTTTTAAGATTTAAAAGTGTATTTTTTGGGGGCACCTAGGTGGCTCAGTCAGTTCAGTGTCTGACTCCTGATTTTAGCTCAGGTCATGATCTCAGTGTTGTGAGATTGAGCCCTGCTTCAGGCTCCGTGCCCAGCTTAAGATTCTCTCTCTCTCTCTCTGCCCGTCACCTAAAAAATTTAAAAAAAAAAAAAAATTTTTTTTTTAATAAGCAACACAATCACATGGAAAAAGTCCTACAGGGTATATGAGGCCAGGTGTCTGTCTTGTCTTACTCCTATAATTCAGTTTTTCTCCTCAGAGGCAAAACTCTTACCAGGTCTTATTTTCTTTTTAAAGATGTTGTATGTACATATAACTGACAATTTATGTGTTTATATTTTTCCTTAAGAAAAAAAAACTAATATCCTACTGCACACAGTATTTATTTTTCATTCTTTAGTGAAAAAATATATCTTGGAGACTGGAGATTGTTCTTTAACAAAAATAAAGTGCTTTCTAATTTTTTCGAGTCGTATAATATTCCATTGTATGAATGTGCCATAATTTACCAATTCCCTATTTTCATTTTTTTCCTTTTTTTGCAATTATAGTCAGTGCTTCAATGAGTAATCTGATACATATAGATGACCATTAGTTTTCAAGGGTCATCGGAAACATGGTCAAGTCATAGAAGAAAGCATTGTATTTTATAGTAAACCTATATAGGAATTTTAACGATTGGAAGCTCCTGGGGGGAAATCTTTAAGTTTCTTATCTGAGAATGTTCTTGACTAACTTATAAGCCACAGGGAGATAGAGACAGGGTAGACCTTGAAGCTAACCAGTTTAATTTTTGAATCAATTCAATGACGGAATGTGTTATATAAGTGCTATGTCTTCTTTATTGTTGCCAGTAGAGATAATAATTATGTGTGAATAATTTTTTCATTTGTCTTACTTCAAGTAGCAGAGCTTTGTGGTTTGCAATGATTACAAAGACTATGCTTTGCACTGTTTGTCTTTAAAAAAAAAGAATCAAATTTAAGAAATTAAATTTAATTTAATTAAAAACAGGAGACCCAAACAGCCTTCTCCTTCAAATGCTGTTCAGGGAATTTTCTGACACAGAAAACCATCTTTTTACCATGAGATGGAAGCAGAAAGAAAACTGGGGCACCAGTATTTATATTGCACAAAATAGCCTTTAAAACAAAGACTGTACCAAGAAACAGAGAAGAACACTATATAATGAGAAAGGAACAATCTAACAGGAGGATATAACAATTCTAAATATTTATGCCCCAGCATGGGAGCACTAAATACATAAAACAACTGTTGATAGACATAGAGGAAGAAAACAGTAATAGAAGACTGCAACACCCCACTTACATCAATGGACAGATCATCCGGACAGAAAGTCAACAAGGAAACAGTGGTTTTGAATGACACATTGGACCAGATGGACCTAACAGGATATATCTAGAACATTCCATCCAAAAATAGTGGAATACACATTTCTTTTCAAGTGCACGTGGAACATTGTCCTGAATAGATGACATGTTAGGCCACAAAACAAATCTCAATAAATTAAAAAAGATTGAAATCCTATCTTGCGTGTTTTCTGACCACAGCAGTATAAAACTAGAAATAAAAATCAAACAAACATACACCCCGCCCCCCATCTTTATCTTTGGGATATAAAAGCAGGAATGACTTTGTCATTTCCCTGTGCTTCTTGCCTGAGACATTTTGGATCTTCAATTTCCAGCATTTAAATTTCTACTTGTCTCTGGATTTCTCTTCTTCAGAGAGAGATTTATCAGAATCTAGAGGCACCCTGGGAACAGAGCCACATAGTAATTGCTCAGCTTTGACGTAGAACAGTAATTCTAAAGGGTAATCCTTTTATTTTGCCTACCTGCTAGTGTAGCATCCTTCAGGAACTGAGAGAGAGATTGAGAGAGGGAGGGAGTGAGCCATAGGGAGAAGCAGCCTTCCGTAGAAGAGAGATTTAGAGAATGTAGCTTCTGGAGCTTTCTCAGCATTGCAGGAAATGTTGAAAGGCACAAGGAGAGATGGAAGGAAAAGTCTGTGAGGTCATCTCCCCTAGCTTTATAACCTGCTTCTCGGCCCTTTGTCAGTCTAGTCTATAAATTCTCTTGGAACATGTATGGGAGCCCTCCCCCCACCCCTGGCCATTCAACCTGCAATTTGAGAAACGTTGGTCTAGAGCCTGCTACATTGTATAGTCTAACTTTGTAAAAGACTTGACATTTGCAAAGCTCTGGTTGTCTAAACTTCAGGGAGTGGCTGGGAAAGTGTCTGGCTCTGTTTGAGAGACTGTTCCTTCAAAGGAATAGTTTGATGTCTAAGAGTGTTCTGGGTTCAAAGCCGAGGCAACATGAAACAATTGTAAACTAGTTTTTATAGCTTCTGTAAACAAAGAAATGGATTTAAGAGGTCTAAAATGTTCTTTTAATCAGTAAGGAAATTTGAAAAAAAAAATTATTCCCTAGGGAGGGTGAAGGAAAGAAGGGGGACCACAAAGGAAACACAGTAAGGAAATCATTATCACCAGTTAAATGTGAATTTTGAAATTAAACAAACTGAAATTAAAGTGAATGATACATGGTAGCATGTACTTTTCTTGTCTCTTCAGGAACTGCTTGTTTTAAGTTTAGATTGTTTTAGATTTTGTTTATTTTTGTTTTTACATTGAATTTATCCTGAGATAACGATTCCCAAAGCAAGTTTTTCCATTTTTCTGTTCTTAGATTCGCCCGCCCCCCTTTTCCCGCACTAGCTTCTAGAAAGCTCAGGCAGCCATTGTTGCCGTTGCTTAGTAACGGGATTGTGCATAAAAACTGTACTCTCCTGTGGAACCAGGTAGTCAGTGTTCGATATTGAGATGTCATGACAGCCTGTAATTTCCGTTCCACTGCTTCCCCAACCCCTTCTTTTAAAAATGTGTTTGGGAGGATGGTTATGCGCTAGATAAACTAGGCTAGCCCTTGATTTGTGTGCCTTTTGTGCTTTTTAAATAAGGGAGAGACCTGCAATTTATGTGTCTGGGGAAAATAAAGTGTGTTAAGGTGTGAGAGATTAAAGTCTGTTTTCTGAGATTCCTAAAGGCAAGCCTACTTTTTATTTTTACTTATTTTTATTTTTTAAAGATTTTTATTATTTGAGAGAGAGAGGGCAGGAGGCAGGGGAAGGGCAGAGAGAGAGGGAGAGAGAGAATCCTAAGCCGACTCCACACTGAGCGCAGATCCTGATGCGGGCGGGGCTTGATCCCAGGACCTTGAGATCATGACCTGAGCCCAATCCAAGATTCGGACGCTTAGCTGACTGAGCCACCCAGGTGCCTTGCAAAGCCTGCTTTTTAATGAAATCTTGCATAGACTATTAAAGATGCCCATGGTGGTCCTGACTAAAGCTGATGGATTCAGGGAGTCTTTGATTGTGGATTGATGGAAGGTCCAAGTTGTTTAAAAATTATTCTAAGAACTATTGGGAGTTAATGTTTAGGGTAATTTAATGAGAAAAATTCTGTGTTTCAGGCTCTTTTTTTTATTGATGACTGTTCCTTGGGAAACTTAATTGTTCTGTTCTCTTGTAGGCGATGGCTAGCAACTGAGGAGACACTGTATTCATATCTTGTATTATTGAAGCTTTTCTGTATTATTTGGATTCTCCGTTTTTATTTTATTTGGCAGGAGAAGAAGCATCAAGGAAGGATGACTTCATGAGGTTCCCCCAAGATTTAAGGGGTCTAGTCATAGCATGCTTTCATCTAGTTGGGGCGTCAGTATTTTTCTTGAATTTGAGATGGTTTCAGGTTTATATCTACATGGGTATCATTGCTTATTTCACTCTTATCTGAGAGTGACAGAATCATTAGACCATGTCTGTTTCCCCATCTTGTCTTCTAAATATTCCTGTAAGCTGTTTAGCTTGTTTCCAGATGTTCTCCTTTTCTTTTCTCCAATCCTTTTTCTTTCCCTAAAATCCCAGAACCTCTCTCAGCTTGCAGCTCGTAACCAGAAAAGTGATTCCAGGCACTTTTTTC